TGTCCTTATAAAAGATGATACAAACAGAAGACAACACACAAAGACATAGAGGAAAAAGGCCATGTGAAAACAGAATCAGAGATTGGAGAAATCTGTGTACAAACCCAAGAATGCCTAGGGTTGCTGGCAACCACCAGAAGCTAAGAGAGAGACATGGGACACATTCTCCCTCAGAGCCTCTAGAGGTAACCAACCCTGTTAACACCTTGATTTTCCACATCTGGCCTCCAGAACTGTGAAAGAATAAATACCAAGTCCTACCACAAATACCATGATGTTGTGGCAATTTGTTACATCAGGAAATGAACACATTACCCCATGACAATTAAACGGTTACCATCAAGTCGAATCTGACTCAGACACCCTAGCACAGAGTAGAACTGTCCCATAGGGTTTTCAAGGCTGTAAATCTTTAGGGAAGCAGACTGCCACATCTTTCTCCCACGGAGCTACTGGTGGGGTTCAACTGCCAACTGCCATCCTTTCAGTTACAAGCCAAGTGCTTAACCACTTCACTGCCAGAGTTCCTTGCCATGACAATTAATCCTAGCCAAACTAAACTCAAAGAAAGAGTTTCTCAAGAGTTTATAATCTATAAACTAATTACAACTTGAAAAATTATATAGTACTGTAACAATTTGCAAACTTCATAGGGTCAGGTAAAACTTAAAGGGAAGAGTAGCTTACTGATAGTATTCCTCTTTGGCCTAAAAATTGTTTGTCTCATATTAATAACTCTTACAGGTGAAGGTGACTAGACTCTTTGGTGATACAGACCCCAAAATCCCAATAGCTAGAACTTATATACCATGTAGGGGAAAACAGATATTCTTAAGTTTCTTGGCTATAGACTTTTTTCACTCCTCCAGAAAGTCTCCAGCTGTTTAATAGAATATTCTAATTCTGTTGATAGGGAAAGAAAATAATTATTAAAAAAAAAAAACTGTAATATCTAAACTTCAAAGGGACTTGGAAAAGAGTAGTAGATTTTGAATTTTTCCTATTTATTATAATCATAATTATATATATTATTAATATGGCTACATAATTTATGATGCCCAGTGCAAAACTTCAAGACAGCTACTGCAACAAATTAAACATAGCATGAGGTCCTTCTAAACACGGGGCTCTGTGTGATTACACAGGTTGCATGCCCATAAATCCAGCCCTAATGACAGCATATGAAGCCTAACTACTACAGACTGGAAAATTTGATTCTTGCACGTAATATAACTTGTCTCAAAACATTTTAATGTTTTTCTTATTTCCATTTAGAAATATATCTTAACATATATTTGTTGCAAATAAATACTAATACACATTGAATGTTTTTTCACACAAAGGTTTATTCAAAGGGTGAGTGTAAAACAACCATGGTGAATCTATACAATGGAACACTACCCAGTGATTAAAAAAAAAAAAAAAAAAAGCAGCATGAAGGAATCTCACAGACATTAAGCTGAGTGAAAGATGTCAGTGTCCAGAGGCTACATGCGCATGAGTACATTTATGTGACATTCTGGGAAAGGCAAATCCACAGGGATGGAGAACAGATCAGTGCTTCCCAGTGGCTGGGGTGTGGTGAAAGCATGACTACAAAGGGCAAGCACGAGGAAATATTTCAGAGTGATGGAACTGCTCTGTGTCTTGATTGTGGTAGTAGTTACACATGTCAAAACTCATAGAACTCAGCACAATATAAGCAAGGCAAAGGAAGGCACTGGGAGGTACCTAGGAGTAAAAGGCAACAGGTAGAAGGATACACACAATCCTGCAATAACACTAATAACAAACAATAGTCTATGAGTATATACATAGATAGATGTGTAAGATGGACAGGTGTGGGATGGCATATGGAAGTACACCCACAAGCATATATAGATTTCACAGAGGCTATCTCTACATACATATTTGTATGCACTGCAAATATATCCAGGTATATAGGAGAGCATAAGTTATAAAAATGTCTTAGCCATAACCAAACATCTTGAAGAACTGAGTTACTAGGCTTGAGGGCATAGAACAATAGTCTTGAGGGACATCAAGGTCAATTGGCATAATATAGTCCACAAAGACAATGTTCTACATCCTACTTTTCTGAGTAGTGACAGGGGTTTTAAAAGCTTGCTAGCTAACCAGACGGCTGGTGGTTCAAACCCACCAGCCACTCCTCGGAAGGAAGGTTGGGCAATCCTACTTCTGTAGTGATACTGCCTCGGAAACCCAAGGAGGGGTCGCTATGAGTCGGGGCCGACTCGACGGCACATAACAACAACAACAACAAGTAGCCATCTAAGATACAATTAATGGTCTCTTCGAATGCAAAGAAGAGAAAAGAAAATCAAAGACTCAAGGAAACAATTAGTCCAAAGGACTAATGAACCATGTGAATCACAGCCTCCACTAGTCTGAGACCAGAAGAACCAGATGGTGCCCACTACCATTACTGACCAGGAGCTCTGGTAGCATAGTGGCTAAGGCACTTGACTGCTAACCAGAAGGCTGGCGGTTCAAACCCACCAGCCACTCCTCGGAAGGAAGGTTGGGCAATCCTACTTCTGTAGTGATACTGCCTCGGAAACCCAAGGAGGGGTCGCTATGAGTCGGGGCCGACTCGACGGCACATAACAACAACAACAACAAGTAGCCATCTAAGATACAATTAATGGTCTCTTCGAATGCAAAGAAGAGAAAAGAAAATCAAAGACTCAAGGAAACAATTAGTCCAAAGGACTAATGAACCATGTGAATCACAGCCTCCACTAGTCTGAGACCAGAAGAACCAGATGGTGCCCACTACCATTACTGACCAGGAGCTCTGGTAGCATAGTGGCTAAGGCACTTGACTGCTAACCAGAAGGCTGGCGGTTCAAACCCACCAGCCACTCCTCGGAAGGAAGGTTGGGCAATCCTACTTCCGTAGTGATACTGCCTCGGAAACCCAAGGAGGGGTCGCTATGAGTCAGGGCTGACTCGACGGCACATAACAACAACAACAACAACCATTACTGACCACTCAGATCAGGATCACAGTGGAAGGCCCTGGGCAGAGTAGAAGAAAAATATAGAACAAAACTCAAAATCATAAAAAAAACTAGACTTACTGGTCTGATGAAGACTAGAGGAACCTCAGAAATTATGGCCCATTAGACACCTTCAAACTTGCAACTGAACCTACTCCCAGAGATCACCTTTCAGCCAACAATAGAGAGGCCTATAAAGTGAACAATATTACCAGTAAGGAAAATGCTTCTCAGAACAATCAACCCTAAGAACAAAGGGCAGCATTTGCCCAAAAACAAAGTTCAAAAGGCAAGAGAGATGAGCAGATGGAACCCAGGAAAGAAATGGGAGGAGTGCTGTAACATTGAGGAGATTGCAGCCAACGTCACAAATCAAAATGTGTATGAATTGTTGAGTGGGAAACTAATTTTCTCTGCAAACTTTCACACAAACCATAATAAAATGTTCAAAAAAAAGGAAAAAAAAGTAAATAGTACATGAAGAAGAAGAAGAAAAATAGATAAGTTCATAAATACATATGAATAAGCATATATGAACTACTAAATTAGCAATAACAATAATAATAAGGCATTTTTTAAAAGACTCATAGAACTGTACATTCAAAAAAAGAATTTTATGATGTAAATTTAAAATTTATTTAAATTATACACATATATACATAGTCATATTTATGTGTATATATTTTTTAAATTTTCATCTGGTTTCTGCCAGAAAGACTGTTTTGTGGGTCTCTGCCACACTAGTCTTTGTGCTCTGTGGCCTGTTTTTCCATCTGTAAAAGGAGATCGGTCAAGAGCAGTGATTTTCGTTCTTTTTTTCCAAAAATTTGGCACCCTTGGGTACTCCCTTTGTGGAAGTGAGTGTGGGGGTACATTTGGAGGGAAAGGGCATTTAGCCTCCACTGGACCCTGGATCCATAGCTCTGTGTCAGTTGTGCTTTTGAATAAATACCTCTAGATTGGAATAGCTGGTCTTAAACCATATTTCCAGGTACCTGGGGAGTTTGAACAATCCTAGATCTTAAGGCCTACTGGTGAGACCTTTGTCAAGTGCTCTCAAGGAGCACAATGGTTAGCCAGATAGTGGCACTGGCTCTAGTGAATCAGTGATTCTAAACAAGGCATTTTGGGGAAGATCAAATTGTGTTCCTTATTTTATGACTCCTTGGTTGTTATGGGTTCCCTAGTTAATTCCAATTCATAACAACCCTATAGGACAGAGTGGAACTACCCCATATAGAGTTTCCTAGGCTGTAATTTTGACCACACCAGATTGCCAGATCATTTCTCTCTGCTGGTGAGTTCAACCACCCACCTTTGGGTTAAAAACTGGGTTTAAAAATTATCACCAGAGCTCCTTCCACTCAGTGTGTAGGAAACTTATTTCACCATCTTACATTGAATGAGTGTAATCTTTAAAGATAGGGTTTACGAGGTTAATATCTACAGAACCCTTCCTTTTGTCTTGCCCACATAAAACGCCTCAACTGATTTTCTTTACCAACAGAAGTAGAATGTTCAAGTTCAGATCTTAGTGGAGGATCAGCGGCAGATCTGCACCTCTGACGCCCGTGCTGAGGGTGTGGGAGGGGGCGGGTCTGACCACTCGTGGTGAAATCATGAAACGGACCTCCTTCTCACAGAATTTCCTCACAAACGTCGGGATCACACCCATCCGGGAGTTGACCATGCGCATAGCTGCAACTCGAGGAGGATGAGCAGCTTCCAAAAGCCGTTACTGGGCTGCATGCTGTGCGGGCACTAGGTCCAGGTGTGGGCGGGCGTCCAGCAGGGTCACGCTGGTACTTCATGAAGTGGACAAAGCAGAGGGTGGCTTCATCTCCACACTGTGGGTGTGGTCAGCAAAGTGCCTTGCTTAGTCTCCAGGCTACAGACATGGCCCGTGTTGGGCTCAACAAAGTCATGGAGGCATGAGATAGGTGGCCACAGAGACCGGCTCGTACTGGGCGTCCTCTTTTAACTGTCCACCACCTTCACCAAGACTGTAGTGATCAGGTTGCTGGATAGCATGAGCTTGTTTTTGGCAGCCACACCGTTGTTGATGTGCAGGTTGCTGGTGATCTGTGAAAAGCCGTTGACCGGAGGGCTGCGAGACTGAGCCACAGGGGTCACGGCATAGGGTCCTCAATGTTTGATGGTTGATGGTTGCTTCTCTTTAAGCTGACTCATTCAGGAAGCAGCTGTACTGTGAAGCAGAGATAAGGATCACACCCAGAGCAGAAGTCTGTGGGTGAGAAGACAGGTGGCAACTTCAGAGCCTCAATTCTCAACGGCCCAGTAGCGCTGGTCTGCATGGCTGGAAGGAATCAGGTGGGCCTGGCCTTTGGAGAAAACCTGCCTATGCTCCCTGCCTGGGCTCCCTAGGTTACCGCCCAGCAATCATGGCCCGCCGGACACGGCAGTCCTTGTAAGAAAAGTGCCCTGAATTTTGTTGAGCACTTTAAATAAAATTAAATAATCCCTTCAGATTTCTTAAGGCATTTGAAATGCCGTTCACCATCTTCTGTATGCACAGAAGAGCCATTTGCCATATTAGATATTAAAGTCAGAACAAAAATTAATGTAAGTAGGAGTTTTGCATATTGGACTGGATCTTAAAGGGAAGGCCCTCTCTTGAAAAACTTTTTTTTTTTTTTAGGGGGGAGAGACAGTTTCTCAACCTTTATGGAAAACTTCTCAGGTAGATCTCTATTACCTAGGATCGTTTGTGTAACGACAATACAAGCAGCTGTTTAAAAGCTGAGTCCCAAAGGCCAAAGGAGGACTCCCCACACCAAAAGGGAAGATAGAGGTGATAACATACTCACCTACCTAGGTTTTATTGATTTTTCAAGAGACATCCATGTCTCCATTAAAAAAAAAAAAAAAGCCAAAACAAAACCCATTGCCATTGAGTGGATTCTGACTCATGATGATCCCCTTTGGGTTTCCAAGGCTGTAAATCTTTACAGAAGTAGATTTTTTCATCTTCCTCCTGTAGAGCAGCTGGTGGGTTTGAACTGCCCCATGAGCTCCTTGTGTCTCTATAAAAATAGGTGCTAAAATAAATATGTACTCACATTGGCCAATCACCCTCAAGTGCCTGGACAGTCTCCCACTTGCTGTTAATGTTGCTGATCTTATTTGGAATTCATGATTCACCAGACCCAGTCTAGAAAAGCCAAGGATAGGTAGGCAAGCTCAACCAGGTCCCTACATTCTATCTCCAGCCAAAAATATATATAAAAAAAAGGAATGCTGCCCTGGCTTCTGATTCATAGTGACCCTACAAAATAGAGTAGAACTACCCTATAAGGTTTCCAAGGCTGTGAATCTTTACAGAAACAGACTGCCTCATCTTTCTCCCTGCAAGCAGCTGGTGGGTTCCAACATCGACCTTTTGGTTAGCAGACTGAACACTTTACCCAATATAAGTGGTATCCAAAACCACCCGCAAAGCAGGAGGGCTGAATAGCCACTTGTTGTGTAGTTTTAAAAGGGCATGTTTTGGTTACCTAGTGCCACTCTAACAGGAATATACCACAAATGGGATGGCCTTATCAAACAGGAGTTTATTCTTAAAATTTGGAGGCTTTAAGTCCAAGTTGTCAGGCTCTAGGCACTGGGTGAAAGCCCCTCAACCTTGGGCTTCAGCTCTGCCTCCTGCTCCGGGCCCACTGGAGCGAGAGGCTTTTCTTCACTTGGACAGCTGCTGGCTGCTGAGGCTGACAAGCCCAAGGTTGACAAGTAAAAAGGCAGAGTCCCGATGTTACCAAACCACACGGCAGGTCATTACTTCAAGTCCGTTTTAAGTCCCAAGTTTGGCAGAGCACAGCAGACTGCTGAACAACAACTTGGATACATGCAGAGTTCACACGTGCCATAAGCTAGAGACCATTCCCCAAGGCTTCTCACATTTCACCATGGAGTTGACTACCAGTCTCATCATGGGGAATACTACATCCTGCTGCCTAGCCACTCAACCAGGCCCAGCCAAGTTGACACACAAACTTAACTACCACAGGGCAATTTCTGACTTTTTTAAAATTAATTAATCAAAGATTTCTACTTGTACCTAAAAAGATAATACAAGGTGTTTAACCCAGTTCAATAACTAAGAAAGTCCAATTCAGTTACTATCCACCTTTAGATAGATGTTATTGCAACCCCCAGGATTTGAAGATTTCTTGAATGTAGGTTAGTAATGACCATATTTTTTAAGCTATTGCTCCCATTTTGCTCATTTTCCATTTTCTATGGTGAAAATAAGCAAATTTATAGAGTAGTTAGGACTTTGTAAAGCAATTATATCCTCTTTGGAGTAACCAGAAAATGAAAGCAAGATCTTGGGCTTTTAAATTATATGAATGTCTACATTTCTGATAGAGAAGACAAATATTGTACTGCTAAAATTTTAGAGATAGCTTTAGCCAAACTCTTTTCATTACAGATGAGACATCTGAGGCCCATAGAAGTAAAATGATGAACCAAATGAAAGAGAAAATTCTCAATTTTTCTTTTTTTTTTTTTTTTCTTATAAAAGGAAACTTCAACCTTGCTTCCTTGGAAACAGCCAAGTTATAAATTCCTTTTCGTTACAAGCTTATATCTGTTTTTATTGTCTCAGAGTGGCTAAAAACCGTTTCTTCAGTTTCTCCCTTAAGAAATGTGCTAGATTTCCAGAAGAAAAGACAACTATTGATTACCCTCATCTCTCCCTTTCTCCTTAGAATGTGTGCATTTTGGCACTGGGGTGATCACCTGGTCCAGTGTGTCTCACCCTCCCCCACACACATACACACTGAGGATGTACACAAGTTATCCAGTTTCTGGCCCAGCAGCTGTTATCTCCGCAGTCTTCTTTTAGCCATGAAAGCATATCTTAATGCAAGTAAATAAGAGAGAAAATATTATAGAAACGGTCTTAAATTCACTCAGAAAATAAAATTATTTCCTAAGCTTCATTACCTTAAATGTGATTTCTAACAAATTTCATGTGACATAGTGCTCAACCAATCACAGTCCACTCAAGCCTCCCACTGTCAGAGCTCAAAAACTAAAACTCAGTGCTGTCAAGTCAGATCCGACTCATAGTGACCCCTCCTTGGGTTTCCGAGCCGGTATCACTATGGAAGTAGATTGCCCAACCTTCCTTACAAGGAGTGTCTTATGGGTTTGAACTGCCAGCCTTCTGGTTAGCAGTCAAATATCTGA